CTTGTGGCCCAGAGCCCTGAGTGTCACACACGTTTCATGGAATCCCAGCCTGGTTTGTGTTGGAAGGGACCTTAAAGCTCATCCAGTTCCGCTCCCCTGCCATGGGCAGGGACACCTTCCACTAGAGCAGCTTGCTTTAAGCTCCCTTCCAACCCAACCCAGTCTGTGATTCTGTGCTCAGCGACAGCAGCGTGTGAGTTCACACAGAAACACCCACACCTCTCCTGGGCTCAAATGAAGCCGTTGTCAGTGTCAAGAGTGGTGCTTCTGGCTTGTTCTTGTGTATTGAATCCCCTGAAGAGCCTTTCGAGGCGGAGGTGGTGCGGTGGAGCTGGGCTCCAGCTGCCTTTACCCTGCTCTGGATCACTACCACCGCCCTCGAGGCTTCCCTGGGCAGCCTGTGCCCTCTAGCGGCCGGCAGGCCCCCGGCAGCATCCAGGCTGTGGAAACAACCCCTTGGGATGCTCCAGAGCGCTACCAGCGTGTTCATACACCTCTCTTTACTGCTTTCCTGCTCAGACATTGCAGGCAGTGTGTGGTTATGCCTGTCTGGGGCTGGGGGAATGACAGCCATGGTGTGCAGTGGTCAGAGGAGCAATTCCACGGGGTGGTTTTGTGGAGCAAATGCAGTTTGGCTTTATAGCTCACAAGCAGCAAGTGAAATAAAGTCAATTCCAACTCTGTTTTGTGGAAATCCCAAACTGTTGTGTTTAACATATCCCCCTTTTCCCATCTCTCTCCTTCAGTTCTCTCTGCATCCAGTGACAAAAGGCTGTACATGGGGGAGATCCAGTGAAGACAACAAGGAGATGGGATCCATGATCCTTGGTTTACAGAGGTGGGATTGACTTTGCCTCTTCCTGATGCCAGACCCCCTCACACTGATGGCACTGGGACAACGTTGAAGCAGCTCAATGTGACAAACTGCCCTCCTCAGGCTGTAATGTCACTGTACAGCCTCCTTCCAACCTCCCTCCTGTGGGGAGGAAGGAATAGTAGGGATTGAAAGGAATTTGCTTTTTGGCTGTACCACAGATGACAAAACCCTTCCCCAGATCACTTGAAATTGGTAAAAGTTGTTCAAGGTCCACATGTGGATTGTATATTCCTTGTCCATTTCTCTTGGGTTTTTTATACGGTGAAAACTGAAATAGATGGCTTTTTACAAGAACTGTGTGTGGGACTTGTTCTGGTTTACTCTTCAGTGTCCAACACTAAATCAAGCACTTGTACACACCCCAGGGAAACCACAGATGTTAACTCCATAGAACCACAGCGTGGTTTGGGTTGGAAGGGACTCTCGCAGGGAAGAGCTCCTGCCTAAGAGCTCATCTCAGTCTCCCCTCTGGCAGGTTAAAGCCATTCCCCTTGGCCTGTCCCTACAGGCCCTGGTCCAAAGCCCCTCTCCAGGTTTCCTGCAGCCCCTTCAGGCACTGGAGCTGCTCTCAGGTCTCCCCTTCAGGAGCCTTCTCTTCTCCAGGCTGCCCCAGCCCAGCTCTCTCAGCCTGGCTCCAGAGCAGAGCTGCTCCAGCCCTCGCAGCAGCTCCATGGCCTCCTCTGGCCTCGCTCCAACAGCTCCACGTCCCTCTTGTGCTGCTGCCCCAGAGCTGGATCAGGGCTGCAGGGGGGGTTCTCCCCAGAGCGCAGCAGAGGGGCAGGATCCCCTCCCTGAGCTGCTGCTCACGCTCTGGAGGTGCAGCCCAGCACAAATACATGCATACACAAGCACACACACGCACACAGGTGCAAACATGCATGTATCCATGCACACTCCCCTGCATGTGCACATTCATTCATGTACCCATGTGTACCCCCATGTACACTCACAGCCCCCCAGACTGTCAGGGCCAGCACCAGGCCTAGGGGTTAGGCTGATGCTCTGTACCAGGTACCACAGCTCCAGGGGATTTGGGGCTGCTTTTCCCACCAGTTCCCAGTCCCAAGGTTCCCAGTCCCTGCCTCGGGCTCCTCGTGGATCCCATCCCACACTGGAGCCTCACCAGCTCTCGGGCATCGCAGCAGCAAAGTGTTGAAGGCATAATCCAAGCACAGAGCCAATTGTTTTCTTGAACAGGTTCGTTCCTCCAAGGGAGGTCTTTGCTTGAGAGATTTCCACTGTAAACTAAATCCTTCCTGGGATCCAGATAAACGGCCTCTGTGTGATAGAGCTGCTCTGAGCTTTCCTGCCTGCTGCTTCCCATGGGGAATGGAGAGCTGGCAGGGACCCCCTGCATCCTTATCCTCATCCTACTCTTTGACCCTTCAGCATCAGTGGGCCGATCCTGTGCTGGGTGCTGGGCACAACAGGGGCATCACTGGGAGGTCCTGGCTCAGCCAAGGGCACCCCTGGCCCTGCTACCCCCTTTCATTACCTCCCTGTCCCTTCCTCCAGTCCTTGCCCCCCCTGCTGCTTAGAGGCTCCTAATGAATTGTGGTAGTTACAATAAGCAAGTGATAACTTCTAAGAGGATAGAAAACAATTATTTGCTCTGTTGGGAAATAGAGGATACTTTAGTGTCTATTTAATGGGAAACTAATTAAATTACATGAAGAAGTGAATAGAAGTTTTTGGTTAATTATGAATTTTGTGAGCTACAAAGGCTCAATGCTGATGGGCTCTGTAATGTGCCAGCCTGCTCGCGAGACACCCAGATAAGAGAATGGTGTGAATGCATTTTAATTTCTCCATCAATTCAACATGAGTCAGAGGAACAGGGATCCATTAACAGCGATCCAAGGAACTCAGGGGGATCCGCAGCCTGGGGCCTCATGAGGTTAAAATCGAGGAGGAATCGGTTAAATAGAGGGGTCTTTGCTGCTTTGCTCCATTGTGATCCTTCTCCTGGGGCTGGGAGCTGGAGGATGCCCCCAGGGGGTCCCATGGGCTCGGTGTTGCTGTGTGTTGGGGCTGGTCCAGGTGAGGTGAGGAGGAGGAGGATGGGTTCAGAGTCAAGGCCAGCAGCAGAGGTGCTGGCTGAGGGCTGGTGACGGCTGCGCTGGCAGGAGACTGATGCCCAGGTTTGGGGTCCCCATCGCTAATCTCCATCTAAACCTGCCCTGGTGCAGCTTGGGGCTGTTTCCTCTTGTCCCATCCCTTGTTCCTTGGGAGCAGAGCCCAGCCCCTCCTGGCTCCATCCTCCTCTCAGGCAGTTGTAGGGAGTGATAAAGTCATTGAGGTGTTTTCTTGCAACAGAAAAGGGAACAAAAGCCAAAGGTGGGTGCATTTCCCACCCACAACATAGATGAAGTCCTCTCCTCGCCTTCTAGGGAAGCACTTGACACGTTCTATTGACCTTTTCTAATCTCCTATTGATTCCTCAGGAAGCTCCACCTGCTCGGGAGCCATTGGATTGGGTTTTCTGGGTTTACATCAGGGCTTTTTGCCTTTTCCTGGCATTTTTAGGAGCTGGACAGGCAGGCTGAGCTGAGCGAATTTGGTCATTGCCAAGGAGATGCTGTGGGGTGCTTGGGCCTTGTTTTGACCCATGGGGTGAAACCAGTCCCTCTGCTTTGGGTTTCTGCTGTGCTGAAATCCCAGAGGAAGCCACAAGCTTGATGCTGGGCCCTTATGCATCCAGATAACCTGCAGGAGCACAGGACACCTCTCCCCGTGGGATGAGGGTGATGGGATCTCGCTCAGCTCTTGGTGAGGGCCTGGGGATAGGGTAGAAGAAATGCAGAGGTCCCTGTGTCTCAAACAGTGATGGTTCAGCCTGGGTGCAACCACCTCTGCAGGTCCCTTGCTTCAGAGCATCACTTGGTGAACCCCTGCATGTTTCTTGCATTCATGAAGGCCATACACAGGGAGGGAGAGAAATTCCCACTATGGAGGATGAAGGAGATGCTCCAGGTCCCAGCAGCCCATGGGGATAGCCCTTGGTTAGACCATGGCCAGGCGACACTTGCACATTAATGTGCACTTAAACGGGGAAGTTAGATTGGATTTAAGGAGGAAGTTCTTTACTGTGAGGGTGCTGAGGCACTGGAATGGGTTGCCCGGGGAGGTTGTGAATGCTCCATCCCTGGCAGTGTTCAAAGCCAGGTTGGACAGAGCCTTGGGTGATATGGTTTAGTGGGAGGTGTCCCTGCCCATGGCAGGGGGGTTGGAACTGGGTGATCTTAAGGTCCTTTCCAACCCTAACTATTCTATGATTCTAATGTACCTGTAAGGTTTGCAGCGCCTTGGATCTGGTGCAGAGCAGCTCTGACACCTAACAGCATATGGGGCTGGTTTAAGAGATGGTTCCTTATAAAAACCAGAGCTGAGGATTAAGAAATCATGGAAGGGAAAAGCAGCCAAGTGTGTCCGAGACCTTGTGCCGGTGGCATTTCGGCAGGAGGTTCCTAAAGCAGCATCCCAGCTGTTCCTTGGAGGATGTGCGCTCTCCGATCCCCCTGAAGCCGTGCTGTGAAAGCAGAACAAAGGCGAGCAGGGTGGGTGGCGGTTTGGGGCCGGACCCTGTCAGCTCTGCTGGGTTTAAGCCCTTCAGGACCACAGCCCCGGTGGATGCTGCCGGCCCTGGAGCCGCGGGTGCCGGGCTGAGGGCTCTGCAGGGGGAAGATGCTCGGGGGTTTCCCCTCCCTGCGAACCCCGCTGCTGCCCCGGCACCACCACCCCAAAGGAGGCGGCTACGGGGTCCCCGTGCTGCGGGTCCAGGCACCGCCCAAGGGCCGCAGGGCCGAGGGAAAGGGGAGGGCAGCAGCTCAGCAGCCCCTTTGCATTCGCATCGCCGGGGTTTAACCCATCCCCACCTGGAAAATAATAGAATAGAAATCTGCCGTTAAAAAGGCCAATACCGGGCTAAGGGAAGGCGGGCGCTACCGGCAGCCGCGCCTGCAGCGAAGGGTCCGCACCTCCCGGCGCCCCCGGAAGCCGCTAAAGGGCTCGTCGCTGCGCAGCGTGCCCGGCCTCGCCTCCGCCCCTCCCGGCCGCTCCGCCTGCCGGGCCCCGCTGGGGAGCGCGTCTGGCGTTGTTCCGGCGGCCGCGTCCCGCCCTGCCCGGCGCGCCCCCGACCCCACCCCGCCGCCACCTCCCCGCCCGCCCCCGGGGCTGTGCGGGAGAGACAATAGAGCTGCGGGCTCCGGGGATGGGCGGCGAGGGCTGCGCGGCCCCGGGGGCTCTGCGCTAAGGGATGGGGCTGTAGCGGGCTCGGGGGGTGTTGGAGCGCACTTGGCTTGGAGCGGGGAGGAAGGCGGAGAATGGGGGGCGATGCCCCTTTCTGAGCCCATCCCGGCTCTGCGCTGCCCTGGCAGGGTGCGGGAGATGGCGGGGCTGCTGTGAAGAAAGTACCGGGGCTGGCCGGGGGTTGCGGAGCGGGACATGTTGCTGGTGCCCGGCTGATGCTCGCCGGGTGTCGGCTCTGCCGCTGAGGAGTCGGAGGACGGCGACGCGAGGCCACGGTGGAGGAAAATCCGCGGCTCCGGCTGGGAAACCATGGGGAGATGCAACGGGAGATGCACGCTGGTGGGATTCTGCTGCCTGCAGCTGGTAAGGCGAGGGGCCGCCCGCGCTCATCAGCATGCCGGGTCGCGCTTTGTGCGAACGCTGCTGTCACCGCTACCCGCGCCGTGTCGGCGGTGACCTTGCTGTGGGACCGGCTTGGGGATGCTTCACTGACACCCAAGCCCCCCCCTATACCCCAAGGAGATTTAACACTCAACGAGGAATGAGATGCCCCCCTCATCCCCTGCCTCAATCCGGCGCTGGCTGGAGTCACGGCTGGGGAGATGGATGGGAGCCGGTTCCCTGCGCTGTCAGCGCCTGAGGGATGCGTCTCCAGCAGGTGTGAGCTTTGTTTCCACCTGCATCCTCTTCCCTCCCTGTTCGCTGCCGCCGGCGCTTTCCCATCCTGGTCACTCCAAGGATGTTCCTTGGGGTGCTGCTCCCCCGAGCTGGATCCAAAGGGAAACTTGGAGCCACTGCCAGCACTTTGGAAACTCTCCTGCTTTCAAGCGGGACCCGTCTGCCCGCGGCGGGGGGATGCTGGGATGGTGGGAGCAGAGGGAAAGGAAGGGTTTAATGGGATTGTTGGCCTTCAGAAGCATTGGGTGCTGTGCTGGCTGCTGCCTGGGGGTCAGTCCTCATCAGGCTGCCCACAGCGGAGCCAGTGATGGGGGAGCGCATGGGGTGTTTGGGGGGGGTTCCACTAAAAGCAGGTTGTGATGGATTATCCTGGGTGGGTGGTTCAGTAACAGAGCATCAGCTCCCTACAACTTGCCTCGTGGCCATGCTGGGGCTCATCGTGGTGAGGAAGGAGATTGTGGAAAGGCAGGGTGGTCAGCCCTGGTGTCCCCAGGGATCGGGGGTGATGGGGTGGATGGAGGCAGTGATGGAAAGCCTCCGGATGAGCTCCAGGGATGATGGTGTTATCTTGCTGACCCGTGCTTTCTTCCCGGCGTTGCTCTCGTTCATTCTCCATTCTTTGGAAGGCAGAGAGCGGGAGGGTCCCCACTCTTGGATGGGGGGCACTGGGCTTTCCTGGCGGGATGCAGGAATGCTCCAAGCCAGCCCTGAACCGCAGGCTGAAGTCCTGCCATTCCCAGTGGGAATGCCCTCTTGTGTCCCCAGCCGTCCCCCTGGTTCAATCTGTAAAGCCTTGCTTTGCGCTTTGCTCGCCTTCCCCCTTAGGATAAACCTGATGGGTGTTTTCCGGGCGTGCAGGAGTTTCCTGGCTCTCGGTCACTTGTTGGTGTTTATTCCCTGCCATATCCCAGATCCAGGGGATTTTAACCTATTTATTGTAGGGGAAGAACTGAACCGAGTTGAGAGAGCAGAAACTTGGTGCTGCAGATGGGGGTCAGGCTTTGCTCTCCACCCCTTACCCCGTGTGTCCTGGTGCTGCCAGCATTCCCAAAGGCTTGGCTCCATAAATGCCCCTCGCCAGTGGCTCTCCCACCTCAGGCTCACCCCATCCTACAGCTCATCCCCTCCCAGCCTGTGGGATGCTCTCCCAGCTCCGGAGGCAGCAGCTTGCATCCCGCTGGCCATGGGGAGATGCTCTCTGCCCTCAGCACCCCATTCCACAGCAGTGGTACCCATGTGGTCCATGAGGAAAAGGTACCACTGGGTGCCCTGCCCAGGATGAGGGGCGTCAGCCCTGGGCTGAGCCATCAGGGTCCCCTTGGATACCAAGGCCAATATTCATCCTTGAGGTGACACGGTCGAGTTGTGCAGCCCAGGTGATGCTGAGGGCTGGGAGGGGATGATGGGGAGCAGGGATGATGCCTGACCCCGGCTCTCTGTGCTGTGGGGGGGGATGGCTGCCATGCTCCCAGTGCTCCCCGTGCCTGGGGTTGGACTGGTGTGTGCTGGGGGTGCCCCATTGCTGCAGGGTCACCTTGTGCCGACAGCCAGCACGCTGGTTGCCAGGCCTCATCAGCCTCGGTTTCCCTTAAGCAAAGCAGTGCGGGTGAGGAGCAGCCTGCCCTGGGTGACACCATCACCTCTGGCTGGTCCTCACTGCTGGGCCCCCTTCCTGCAGGCACCTTCCCGCTGCTCCCTGTGTGCCACCATGGAACCATTGGTTTCCCCAGTATTTGCAGCCTGGGGATGCGCTCCTGGTCCCTTGTGTCCCCACGGGGGATGCTCATGGTGATAGAGGATGCTGCTGGTACCCACTGGGGGCCAGGTCCCCTGTGCTGGGTTGGAAAGGGCAGGTCTGGAGGGGCAGGACACTGCAGGCAGAGCCCAGCACAGCCCTTGGGGCAGTGATTGTGCCTGAACCAGGTTTGGGAAACCGGTGTTTGGGCCATGGCACGGAAGCTTTGGAGCATCCAAATATCCCATGTGCTCCTTGAGCACTCAGTGAGGCGATGCTGCACACAGAGTCACCATTCCCAAGGGATTGGATTTTGCCTCTCTTTTTTCCTTTGGGAAAACCCCAGGGATGCACTTGCCAGATGCCCACCAGCCCTGCCCCACATCAAGAGGAGCTGCTGGGAGATATTTGGGCAGATGAGGTGGGATGAAATCAAAACTCTCAGGTTTCTGCTGGTCCTTCCCAGCATTTGGGAAAGCCTGGGGGGGTCCGGGGGCTTTGGGAACCTTTCTCTGTGATGGGTGATGTTGGGAGGATTTATCTTTATGTGAAGATGAGAGCTGCTGAGGTGGTTGGATGGGAAATGGACCTGGGGGTGATACCACCCCACTACTGCAAGCATGGACATGGAGCCACAAGCCATGACTCTTGTTAACTCTGAAGTCTAATGGTGTTGGCTGCAGACCAGGACAGCTGTGCTGCTGCAGAGGGTTGTACCCAATCTTGTGGGCAGGTATATGGGATTCCAGGATGTGGGATGCTGGAAGCTGAGGTCAGGCTGGAGCCGGCCATCCCACTCAGTGATGCTCAGGTGGGCTCCTCCATGCCCCGGTGGTGCTCCCATCGCAGCACAGGGCTCCCTGGGGATGGGATGCAGCTCAGCTTTGCTCCGAACCAGGGCTCCTTTTCCTTCTTTGTTCCTCTCCTTCTCCTTTAATTGGCTGGGAAAGCAAAGCTCCATTGGCACCTCCTGCCTGGCTGAGCCTGCCGGGGTGGCAGTGTGTGGTGCCGTGCCGTGCCGTGCCATGCTATACCGTGCCATGCTGTACCACACCGGCACTGGCATCCTTCCCCCCGCAGCCTCCCAGGGTTGAGGTGCAGGGCGAGGGGCCACGGATCCATCCCTCCTTGCTTCCCTGATCCATGGGCTTCACACAGGGCACTGAGAGCCTTTGGGATGTGAATTCCGCCCATCACCAAGCCCGGGGAAGGAGCTAACAGGGTCGGCCTAAGGAAGGATGCGCAAAGTCCATCCCTGTATCCCTGAAGCACCCATCAGCCCTGTGTGACATCCCCATCCCCGGCAGGACCCCACTGCACCGCTTCCTGACCCTGCTGTCCCCATCTCCCTGCTTTTGGCCTCCAGCTCTGGCACCTCCAACATCCACCGGCATCCTTTGTCCTCGCGCGGTTCCCACCGTGCCCCATTCCCAGCACAGGGATGACCTGAGGACAGCGGGGCCGGAGCTGCCCCTGACCGCATTCCCACTGCCGGGAAAGGGGAACAGAGCCCGGGATGAACTGTGCATGGGGGTTTTCAATTACACAATTAAATGCACAATTAGGTATAATTACCAGCACTCAGAAGGTGCGACTGTTCATAATCGGCATGTAATCTGCTGCAGTCACTGTTTATACTGCTCTGCTCCCTAATGATTATGGAAAGCTTTCACATTTGCATGGTTGCCATGGCAATGGGGGGCTGGCAGTGGCATAGGGATGGTGAGACCCTCGTATCCCTGCACCCCATCCCATGGGATGGGACACAATGAGTGCGGTGATGCCTCCGTTCCCAGGGATGCTGCGGGGTGGTGGGTGCTGGTGTGGAGGGATAGGGATGCTCCAGGGATGGGCAGCGCTGAGGATCTGGAGACGGCTCCAAGGTGGGAACTGTGTGTGTTGGAGGCATGAAAAACACCAACCCACCTCAGCACCAGCCTGGGTGACCAACCCAAGAAGGGACCATGGGTTCGGGTGGCTGTGGAGCAGCTCCAGTGCCTAAAGGGGCTACAGGAAACCTGGAGAGGGGCTTCGGGCAAGGGCCTGTAGGGACAGGCCAAGGGGAATGGCTTTAACCTGCCCGAGGGGAGACTGAGATGAGCTCTTAGGCAGAAGCTCTTCCCTGTGAGGGTGCTGAGGCGCTGGCACAGGGTGCCCAGAGAAGCTGTGGCTGCCCCATCCCTGGCAGTGTTCAAGGCCAGGTTGGACACAGGGGCCTGGAGCAAGCTGCTCTAGTGGAAGGGGTCCCTGCCTGTGGCAGGGGGTTGGAGCTGGAGGAGCTTTAAGGTCCCTTCAACCCAAAGCAGGCTGGGGTCCTTTTATTCCATCCCAGTGGACGCGCATCCTCCATTGCAGCCGCATTATTCCCAGGCAGAGCTATAAAGGTTTATGGGCACGTTTGGGAAGCAGGAACGTTCCTGCTCGCAATTAAACCCGCGATTAAAGTGCAGTGCGTCTACATTTACAAGACCAGCAAACGTACACCCAAGAGCATTAACGCGAGTGGTTGGAGAACTTAAATCATTCCTGCCCGTTCCTGCCGGAGCTGGGAGCGATGGGCACTGGGAAATGAATGTCTCAGTTGTAGAGCAAATAAAGAGGATGAGCATGGCCTGATGGCGAAGCCACGAGAGCACGGCAAGGGAAGGTTGATGCATGATGTGATCAGCAAAGCCTAAAAGTAGGTGGCCTAATTGATGTCTGGGAAAAGGAGCCTCATCCAGCCAAACTTGATGCTGTTTCTTATCGAGCTGACTCGTTTGGCTGCTGAAAGGGCCTGAGCTGCCATAATAGTGTTTGGATGCTGGTAAGCAATTTGATGTGATCCCAGGTGGCTTTCTGTTAGGAGAAGAATTAGCACTATAAAAAATCAATGATGCTCGTTTCAGTAATGGGAAGAAAGAAGAGGAGGAATAAAACCAGCGCGGGAGGAAAGGTGTGGACTGAAGGG